CTCATCTGCAGACCTCCTTGCACAAGTCGCTGTGGCAGCGCTTCCGCATGGCTCACGCAGGAATGAATGAATGGCTGGGCGCTGCCTCGTGATTTATACTTCAGAAACTCGTTGGTCTACCCTTTGCCATCCGCCCTTGGTGCTCACAGTCCCCCTGTGGTACTTGCTGGACCGGACTGGGACTGACTGGACCTTCCGCTGACTGACCGTGGTCTCACCGCCATCCTACCGACGTTGTACTGCTGTTGCACTGCGGTTTAGTCCACCACTTGCCTCGCCACTTGACCACTTGCCCACTTGCCTATCTTCCAGAAGGTCTACAGCTAAGCTTCCAGAACTCAATAAGACTCCTACGCTAGACCTACAGATCGAACCCCTGCTGTCTATGGACCTACGACAGGTCTACCAACGGCCTACGAATACACAGGTCACAGGTTCAATTCTCGGGGTCTACACAGATACTGTACATGGGTAGGGTGAGGTCTAGGGATCGAACCCTGGGTACTGCATCCGCTAGTGCTAAAAGGTGAAAACCGTTTCATTTGTTATTTGACTATAATAATCTCTCAGCACTGACAATGACAACGACCTTCGCGAGCCACTACAGTCACATAAACTTCATAACAACCGCAGTGACTCACGATAAAGAAGCTCACAGCAACCAGATGTTTTCCCCTTATCATGACAAAAGTTACAAGAGCCGACAGCAATCAGAAAAGTCGGGCGGGCTCATCAGGTACCACCCCTAAACTAATCAAGGGAGAGGAGGAGGAGGAGGAAGAGGAGCAAGAGTGGGGAACAGGCTGGGGAGGGAGGGGAGGGAGGGGAGAGGGGAGGGAGCGAATGATGATGAGGACGGAAATAAAACTGCATATTGATTCAAAGATGCCTAACATATTGACGTGCAAAACAGCTTAGACCTGTCTGGGAATGATTGCTTGAACCACTGAAACGTAACGGCTCAGCCCATGTTTGTGATGCGTCCCAATACAAGTGAGTGACAACACTACAACATTTCCATAGCGACGACCTCTAGAAGTTAAGGGCTTAAGATTCAGAGGTCAGGCACGGGCTTAAGGGTTGATGGTTAAAGGTTAAGGATTAAGGGGGGTCAAGTGTTAAGGTTACAGATGAAGGATGAGGGGCTAACAAAGAGTTTGAGGATGGAAGGACGAAGGGCCAAAGGCTTACAGCCATCCATCGAGTTTCTTTTCAAATCTGAGTTGGCGGTTGTACTGCGCTTGCGGAGTACAGCCCAAATCGGCTGAAAAACTTTTGGGGATTTGGGGGGGGGGTTATAGCAGCACTAATGGTTAACAGGGACCTGACTAACAGACCCAAAACTGAAATTAGGGTTTGGGGGTGCCTGTTTTGTTTTGGGTCAAGGTCTGGGTGTACCAAATTTGGTCTCATTTGGAGCGTTGGAATTTACTCTGCTGAGATTATAGGGGGGTATAGGTGTGGTATTGGGCGTATTGCAGGGGGTATGGGGTATAGTGGTGGTATAGGGGGCATTTGGGGGGAGGGTATGAGGGTGTTGGAGGGCAGTTTGGGGGTGTATGTGTATGGGGGTATTGGGGCCGGGTATGACAGTGCCGGTGGGGTTATTAATTAGGGGTTCTCTTTTTTCCTTTTCTTTGCTTCTCTTTTCTACCAGCCGACCGGTCAAGGGTCGCCGACCGTCGGGTTATGCAACCCTGGGCTAAGGGTTCAGGGTCTGTGGAATCTCATATCAGTTCTAGCACAAGCCATGAACAGAGAAATGTCAGGTCGACGTTTAAGGGTTTTGGGAATGTCATAGGAGAGAAGTGTTAGGTTAATGGTTTAGGGTTTAGGGTTCAGCATTAAGGGTTTGGATTATGTCGTAACTGTGCCGGCACAAGAGCTTGAGGAAAGAAATGTCCCTGGCTTCAGTTTGGACAGCCCAAAATCGCAAACCTGCATCAACAAAAAGGGCAAGGATCCCATCATAATGAGATTAAGCTGAATCAAGTACTTTTGATGGACTTCCATGACAAAAACAGAACACATTTTACAACACCTTGAAATTGAAATGGCACCTTGACAGTTGTAGCGGTGGCATTTAATTGCCATTCATAAAAAGTGCGAGGAAATATTCGTCAGAGGCAAAATTCGACATTCCCATATGTGGGTATTCAGGCTCTCGCAGCACGCCAGTTGGTTGGATAGACGCGTGAGCCTCACAAAGCTGCGTCATACAGTTGGCCCAGGCCTTGACAGTTGCGCCTGGGCGCATACACACAAAGCAAGGCCGATACATTGGGAAGCAGGCCATCGGCCTTTGCAAAAGCAGTACTGCCGACGCACCTGCCTGGGACCCCTGCACAGATGCAGCAAACAGCCCAAGTCCGGAGACTCAGGCCGTGCCCAACTGTAACGGGCCCAGGCCCTCAACTGTAGTCTCGGGCCTGGGTGCAGGGTCTGAGGCCCAACCGGAAGCTACTGGAAGCTTCCAGCCAGGCCACACGCAGCATCCAGGAGGCTGCCACTTCCACAAAAGAAGAAGGGCAGTCCAGGACAGGCATTCTGGCCAGTGCAGGCAATGCGGAAGTGCTGCTGCCCTATCGCTTGATGCTGCGCTGCTGCCAAGGGGGCTGATGGGGCGCGTAGTGGTGAAGTGGGGCGCTGCAGGGCGGCGGGGCACAGGCGGCCATAGCCGGGCTGCTGGGCGCCAGGGGGTACAGCGGGTGATCTGGTGGTCTTCAGGGAAGAAGGCGCAGTGTGGGGTAATCAAGGTCTGATTGAGGGTGACGAGATACGTACCTGGTGCATGAAGAGAGGTCGGCTATGGAGTCGACAGTCATGTACATTGATCTTCGAGAGTCGAAGTGAGCCTGTTGCGTGAACCAGCTGTAGGTAGGATAGTCGGGCAGAGTAGGTTGGGCGCTGGGTGCCAGACAGAGAGGAGCGACTTTGGATACCGTGTTGGTGTGGCCTACGGGCTTGAACATTGGCTCATTACTTCATTGTATTGCTCTATATGGATGGTTTCTCGGTGCATTTCGTACTCTCTGCTTGAATATGACTACCTGGACATCAGTGTGATTTCGCAACATTGGTTTTCTGTATATTGTTCACACTCATATTCCTTGCAAAAGGAGAACACGTTCAACTTGTCACTTTCTCGTCTGACATTGCCGATTCGGAAATGTAAGCTGATCAGATGTCCAGCACCAGAACAATCTTAAAAGTTAAAAGTTAAAACAATAGTCAAGGGCCAATGACTCAGCTTGATCCCTGGTTATTGTTCACACTCATATTCCTTGCAAAAGGAGAACATGTTCAACTTGTCACTTTCTCGTCTGACATTGCCGATTCGGAAATGTAAGCTGATCAGATGTCCAGCACCAGAACAGTCTTAAAAGTTAAAAGTTGAAACAATAGTCAAAAGGCCAATGACTCAGCTTGACCCTGGCTTTTTTTCATCTTCTCTACTCTAACTGCCACCTCCAATCTGTGCGCAAGCCCTCCATTGGCTGGGTTCGCCAGCACAGTCTTAAACCTTATGGTGCTGCTACTGTCCAGGGTTCACTGATTACTACACAACCAGTCCATCGTCTTCTTATCACTTAAACCACCAGTACGTGGCCCAGCTATCGGCCACGGAAAAAAAAAACAGAGTAGAAACGTTTCTAGTTGGATGAATTTGGGCGCTCCTGTAGTGGCCCGTACGTTTCCTAAAATTGTGGCTTGTCAACGGGCACAACTTTAGGAAGTACTGGTGGTTTGAAGGAAGGAACCTGCTGTGGAAACTACCACATCTACCCCCTTCAATTCACACCAGTTGTTTAAACCACCAGTACCCTCTCTGGGGAGGCTCTGATGCAAATGCATATGGACCCGCGCGGCGCACCGATTCAGCCACCGCGTTAACGGCCTAAAAACGTGGAGGTACTGGTGGTTTAACTGTTCGCAGCCCGTAGGATTGTGTTTATGCACCTGAGTCGTTTGGAGTGCCTACTGCACTCTTATGGGGGCCGCTCAGTTCAGGTTGTCTGTGTTGCCTGTAGGTGATGACGGATGCTCGTTGGAGTAACTCCCTGGCTCAGTGGGTGGTGGGAACCAACAGTCTGTAGGGATCAACYGTGATGTGAGTAGGTCATGCGCTGCTTTGCTCCGTGTTGGATGTGTGGACTGCCTCGTCTGCACACCACCGCCGCCTTGCTGCCTGTCCCGCTTGCTTTGCATGTTGCTCTCTGCAAGTTGCTGTGTTCACTGTGTAGTGTGGCTGTGTTGTCGGTGTTGCCTTGCGCTTCGCTGCTTCGTTGCCTTGCTGCCCACTCGCTGGCCGTGCCTTCCGTGTTTCCGCGCTGCGCGCCATGTCTTCACTTGGAGACAGTCTGCCTTCAACAACGGTCAAAGGGTTCATGACCCAAACCATCTAATACGGAGAGTCCCGCAGATTGTTGAGGGTTCAGCTTCCTGATGAGTCGGTGCAATTCCGACGAAACAATCTTTCATCATCAGTTTATTTATTTTTTTTCGGTCTTCCGATGTACTTGGGACTATGTCTTGTGTATTTTTTTCGGTTTGTCTGCCGTCGTGTGCTTGTGTGCCTTTGGTCCTTTTTTTTGTTGCTGCCTGCCGTGTCTGTTGCTTGGGTGTTGTCTGCTCTCCCTCCTCCCCCATGCCCTCCAGCCTATGTGTTGTAGTGTTGTCTGTGGCCCGTGTGTTTCATTTTTGTCCCTTCCTTGCCTTTGGACTCGACTCCACTCAGATGTGTATTCTCCTCCTGGAGTGTTGCGATGGTATGGTGCATGGTTTTTACTGTGCAGAGGTCTTCGCAATATGTGTTCACACACATCATCACACACAATCAGTTTTAGGCATGGTAACCGCGGACCCGGACACCGGACACTTCCGGACTGTCTTCCGGACCAGTGTCTGGACCGGTCCGGACTGTCCGGATCAGACATCACCGGACACCGGACACCGGACATAACCGGACACCAGACAGTCCGGACCGGTCCCGGGGGTGCAAACAATGTCCGGACCAAAAAAAAAAAAACAAAAAAAAAAACACCGGGGTTGGGGGAGGGGTTGGGTGGGGGTGTTGGCAGGCACTTACCTGCTTTGCACTCTGTACTTCACACAGCAGAGCACATGTCTTGCAGCAAATCAACCACCACATTTAACTAGCAGAAATGCAGAGTTGCAAACAGTGCAAAGCAGGCACAAGACAAAAGAAACAGAGAATCTTTTTTTGAAAAAAGTATGATTAACTTTGCACTTTGAACTTTGGATTTAGTAACTTAAGTTCATACAAGTGGACCCGCCGCGGCTCCGCCCGCGGCGAGAAGAGCAGGGATTGTGAGAATTGAGGAGAGGGGGAAGGCAACTCTCTCTCTCTCTCTCTCTCTCTCTCTCTCTCTCTCTCTCTCAATAATAATAAAAAAACAAACAAACAAATAAATAAATAAATAAATAAATAAAAGAAAAAAAAAAATAGAGGTCAATCTCAGATGTCAGAAATGCCAATCTTCTCTTCCCCCTCCCCACCTCCTCCCGATTTTCTCCCCTCCCCATCCTGACGGCTCCTCCCCTCTTCCACCCCGACCTCGTCGCCTCGCCCCTTCCCCTCATCATCCCGATTTCCCCCCTCTCCATCCCGACAGCCCGACCAAAACTACAACGGACGTGATTTGTGTAGTTGCATGAAATTCGGAGCCGAAAAATTGGAAGGGAAATGATAAACTGTCGAACAAACCGAATTCGGTGATGATATGAGAAGGTTGTCAGCGTTTTTTTTTTTTTTTTCTCTCTACAAAAAAAGAAAAAAAAGAAAACAGTTCCACATCCCGGCTTACCTCCACGTATCGATCCCTTGCAATCCCGACTCCCCCCTCCCTCTCCTATCGAACCTCTCCCTCCCC